AAAGAGGTTTGCAATCGGACGCTGTTTCATCGACATCCGTCGGTTTCGTGAAAGTCGAAGACGGCCAAATGGACACTGACCAGCTGGGGGAATTAGTTGTGCAAATTGACTAGAGCTTGAAACCACTTGGAGAACGTTGTGCAAATTTACTAATACTCGCACACCATGTCCGATACTTTAACAACGATAGATATTGAAACTAACCTGAGAACAAACCCCTCAACGTGTGGATATTTTGTTGGGGTCTACCCACTATTCCATGGAGACAGCCAACTGCCAAGAAACCTTATTTCCATGGAAACTACCTCACATGGAAGTGAGCAAAAAATACATGGAAAGTTATCTTCCATGGGAAAATGTCTCCCATGACATTCCTTGAGGTCCCATGGCTCATGGGAACGATCAGGGTATTTCTGAGATCCAATCTGCACCCGACGTCACCGCATCGAGCAGAAATACACATCTCGCGTGTTGTCTCATCAACATCCTGTGTACAGTTATGTTCTGGTCCGCGCGTACACACTAAATCCATATGCTCTTTGTTGTGTATAGCGGGGTCGGTGCCTATTGTACAATTTTGGATGCCGTGTGTCAGTAAAAAACACATCCTGTCCAAATCAGCATTCTATTCCATGCGATGCGTGCAGCAAGGTCACAGAATCTCCTGATCTACCCGGGTTGATGACCAAGCGGACTCTGCCGCGAAAATATGCCAAGTAAGCGACTGAAACTATTTCGGCTCAATTGTAGACATTTTTCTTTCACCGTACCCTAGCATTTGCGTGCTAAAAATACTGTTCATGACAGGGGGAGTAGTGAATGGCCTCATGAAAAATATCAAAATTGAGCGAAAATAGGTTTATTCGCTTATCTGCAATATCTCCAAAACGGTTGCAGTTAAAGTCCTTACATATCCTTACACTCACATAACTTAAATCCATAACCATAAATCCTTATAGTATAAGCTACTAAAATGCGCGCTGTGGTGAGTCAGCCACCAAGTAAAGGACAACATCTCGCTCGCCGCCACAGGCCCACGAGAGCCCAGATAAATAAACACAACGTTGTTCCTAACCGAGTGTTCCTTCCTTCATCCACAACGAGCCCACTCCAGGCAACAGCGGCTCGCGCCTTGTGTGACGCCATGCCACGGATGGACAGCGGTGACACGGTGACCAGAGCGCGGCAGCTCCTCCGCGACGATCGTCGAACGAAACTATGCAAATGAACACGAGCAGCTGTTAACGCGGCTGCTCCTGAGGACCATACTATTAAGAGGAGAGGTACCAACGCGGGGTACCAGTCACTCTGCATATCTAACTGTACAACAAGATGACTGTTTAAACTGCAAAACTAAATGTCTTACAGTTTAAACTGCAAAACTAAATGTCTTACAGTTTAAACTGCAAAACTGTGTAGTTCTACAGTTGTTTAAACTGCACAACTGCATAGAGCTACTTTGACTTCTAGTTTCGCAGTTTAAACTGAGTAGAGCTACACACTTTTTCAGTTTAAACTGTAAAACTTTTATGTTTTGCAGTTTAAACTGCAAGCCTGTTAGTTTTGTAGTGTAAACTGTTTTTTTTTTGTTTTTTTTTTTGGTTTGGCAGTTTAAAGTGTCATCTTGTTATGCAGTTAGATTTGCAGGGCACTCAGGAAACCCAAGTGTGTACATGTATGCGTTATTTGCTGACCTACATGCAGCAAATACTACGTACATGATAATGTACGCAGCAGATAGTGTGTACATGGCCAGGTACACGCTTCGGCACAGAGCATTTAGCATAGGGCTCTACGTGTGTACCTGCCCTGGCCATGTATACACACTATTTGCTGCATAGATCATCATGTACACACTATTTGCTGCATACATGTTGGTATTCAGCAAATAACACACACATTCATTCACTTGAGTTTCCACAGACTCCTAGCCAAGGACGCAGTTAGCCGGATGTGAGCGAATCGAAAAGTTATCACACGAGTGCATGGAAAGTTCCTACATACCAGTACACGTAAACACTGTATCCTTCATAATCACAGCTGCGATGTGGCGGGTGGCGGGGCGTGCAGGCAGGCCCCGCGGCGCCCCGCCCTCCCAGTCGTGAGGGTGGATGCCGGCTGGCTGGTCGCGCCTGTCTGGTCGGCAGGCGACCGCGAGGCCGAGTGACCCTGCTAACCACGCCAGGCTCGGTGGGCGACACGCATACGGACCTGTGGCGGTCTGATTAGACATGCGGCCGCATGCGGTAGCGCATCGAATAATGCGCTGATTGTATCTTGGAGGTCGGCCAACACGCCGGGGGACTTCCCCCGCCCCCGCCACCCGGCAGTCCTAAGAAAGGTACACAACAACAGTGCCCTCGACACGAGCAGAGAGAGGCAATCTTTAGATCCGCCCGCCTTGCGCCTTGGCGTGTTTCGGCTGACTTTTGGGAAGAGAGCCTCCCTCTGCAGCCGCCGTTCTTCATACAGTGCGGAACACTGCAGCTCCGCTGACTCGGCTTCACTTTTGGGCCACTTCGGATCAGGGTGACGGGTGACGGCACCGCACAGGCTGACCCAGGCCGGTAGGAGCCTGCAGCAGCAAGGGGCTGCATTATACTTCTCCTGCGCGCGCGAA